TTGGATTAAGGAATATGAAGGTCATTTTGCAGTTTGGAGCACTTTGCAGGATAGGACGGCCTAGGGAAGATGCTAAAGTAGAAGACTGAGTTAACAAGAGCAGACCAAAGGGGAAGTGCTAGCAGTGAGAAGGACAACGAAGGAAAGTGTTAACATCAAGTGTTTCAGATTTCTGCCTAGGGGCACCTGGGTTGCTCAGCGGGTTAAGCATCCCACTCTTGTGCCTCAGGTCATGAGCTCTGAGTCATGAGTTTGGGGTCGTGGGATCAAGCCCTGCGTCAAGCTTCGTGCTCAGCTTGGAGTGTGCTTGAAATTCTCTCTCCCTCTCCCGTTTGTGCACGCTCTCGCTCTCTTCTCTCTCATAAATAAATAAATAAATAATCAATCTATCTATCTGTCTGCCTAGTGTTCGCTCTTTCCAAAGATAATAGAACAGAAACATCTTCTTTTGTACTCTCTGATTTCCTACTATTGGGGTCCAAAGCTTCTATTTGGATTATAAGTAAGCTGTATTGTCAGGTAATTGGACTTCTGAGGACCTTACTACTGTCTGAATAGTACTATCCAACAGAAATATAATGTATAACACATATGTCATTTAAAATGTTCTAATAGCCACATTTTAAAAAAGTAAAAAGACACAGGTAAGAGTGAGTTTAATATATTTAGCCCAGTATATCCAGAGTATCATTTCAATGTGTGATCAGTCATTGACATATTTTACTTTTTTTCATACTAAGACTTAAAAATCTGTATTGTACAATTACAGCATATCTCAGTTCAGACTAGCCACATTCTAAATGTTCAGAACCAGTGGCTATTGTTTTGGATGCTGCAGGTCTAGAACACAGTTTGAGAATAAAAATGTTTCACAAGTTCTAAATCATAAAATTTTGGAACACAGTCTAAAAACTCATTTGACCTCTTTGAGCCTTGGTTTCCCCTTCTCTACAGGTAGGGGGTTGGACTAGGTGAACTCTTAAATTTCTACGAGTTCCCACATTGTATGTGTCTAGAGAAACTAATGGTATTTTGGGATTGATTATAGTATTTTTATCAACAGTATCCCACAGAATTTCTTTTTTTATAATTAAGCTATCATTGATCAGATTCAATTAAGAATATTTAGGGGCACTTGGGTGGCTCAGTCGATTAAGTTTCCGACTCTTGATTCTGGCTCAGGTCATGATCTCAGGGTTGTGACCACGCTGGGCATGAAGCCTGCTTGAGATTCTCCTTCTCTCTCTGCCCCTCCCCCTCCCTCTCTCCCTCTCTTAAAACTTTTTTTTATTTGACATAAACTTATAAGTGGTAAAGCTGGAATTCAAACCAAGGTCTGTCTTTATCACAAATCTTGTATTCTCTCCACTATACTGTATAGCCTACCACTTAGTCCAAGGAATTTTCACAGTGCCAAGTAAGAAATAAAATGTTGAGATTAATTACATTTCACTAAAAAGCTTTATTATTGAATACTGAAAAGCTCTATACTGTGTTTACTAATTATCATGAAATAGTTTAGTAATTTCTTTTCCTCAGATTGTTTTTCTTGACCACCAGAAAATATAACTGATCTCATAATTTTCTTTGACTGGTCTCATGGTCCATCCCTTCTTGACTTTCATGGTACTGTAGTTTTACAGTGAGAACAGCCAGAAAGTAGCTTTGGGACAAAACAGACAAATGGACTGTTAAGTCCTTTGTCTGTAAGGTCAAGAAGTCTGACAGTCTCAAGAACAAGTTTGCAGTGAGAATCTATACTCAACAATGGTTGAGGAGAAAAGAGACTCTTTTTACCTGATTCCCAAGGTAAAGACTGTATTCTTAAAAAAAAAAAAAAAAAAAGTCGCAGACTGCTGTATGCAGGCCAGAAATGTGTTTTCATGTGGTATTTTCCCTTTTTTTCCCCACAAGGATTAAATATTTAAGAATTGGGAGATATAACAATGAACTTTAGATTTTTCATTTCTCTTGAAAAAAAAAAAAATAGGAATATCTAGCAACATTAGGCCCACACATTTCATGGAGTTAACTAGCTGCTGCCTCCCTGACATGAGCATGGGGTGTGCCAGTGGTCCCAGAGTCCCAGTTAATCATCCTATATTCTCTCCCTGCTCTCATTTTGGATTTCCTGTGTGCACCAGTAGATAGTCAATTTGTGGCTCCAGTTTTAAAGTGTACATGATAGGGGCGCCTGGATGGCTCAGTCAGTGAAGCATCTGCCTTAGGCTCAGGTCATGTAGGGTCCCTTGCTCAGTGGGAAGCCTGCTTCTCCCTCTCCCTCTGCCCCCCACTCATGTGCTCTTTCTCGCTCTGCTCTCTTTCTCAAATAAATAAAATCTTTTTAAAAAGTCTACATGATAGAATTCTAGCTTATTTGCCTATACATACTGTTCTATGGACAGTCGATTTAAAGCTTATGAAGAGATATTATAGTGTGTTAAGTCATGTATTATAAGCAGTTCCTAGACAGGGTTCAGAATGGTACAAATTCTTCTCAAAGGGAAGGGAATAAATACTTGTTGAGGACCTCATATTATCCCTTACAGTGTAATGTCTTATTTAGTGAATCATAATTGTAGGTGGTAAGTAGTAGTACTATTTTGTGTATTAGGAAAATGAGGCCAGAGTCATACAGCTAGTCAGCAATAAAGCTGGAATGCAGATCTTGATGAGTTTTTTCCCAAAGCTCATGTTCTTTCCACTATGATATATTGCCTTCCTCAATCTCAGGAATTGTTATAGGTTCCTAGATTACATATTTGGCCCTCAACATGTATACTGCCAGTTTCCAGGCAGAGAAAACGTTTTCATCCTGACATGCATTGCCATTTTTATATTGGAAAAGTTGACAAGCACTAGATAGTTTCTTTGCTTTTACTTAGTTGCTTGTGCTGCTAAGGAGAAAGGAATAGTTGATAAAGGATAATTGACAGGGAGCAATATGGTATTCTGAGCTGTCTCTATTAGCAAAGGAGAACTTTTGTTTTCTTTGATACCAGTCTTCCTAAACCCATTCCCTTGGCTGGACATCTGATCTCTAAGTGGTAGAGACATCTGCTATAATTTTATTTTTTCATCCAGAAAGCATTTATGATATATGCCTCTGATCAAAGATCCTGGGGGGAAATTCCAAAGGATGGGATATCTGCCTCTAAGAATTTATATATATATTTTTTAAAGATTTTATTTTTAAGTAATCTCTACACCTAATGTGGGGCTCGAATTTACAACCCCAAGATCAAGAGTCACATGTTCTACTGACTAAGCCAGCCAGAGACCCCAAGAATTTACATTCTTTAAAAAAAAATGAGGGAAATTATATAACAAATTGATACCTATAAGAAAGTGAACTATACAAAAAAGGACAAGGAGATGCTGATAAAGATGATTGCAGAAGAGAAATAGTTGCAACTGGTAATCATTTAGTTCTCCTCAAGTCCAGCAATGCTAAAAATCATCAGGAAGCAGAGCCCACTCTTAGATCCAGAAGTAATAAAGACCTATATCATGTGGTGTGAAAACTGTGGTGTGGGAGGTCTTAGCCTGTTCTTAGATCTAACCATGAGGCCAAGCACAAGTGAGTAATAATAATAAAAATAACTTGAACTTCTCACCCATAACAAGCACAAATACTTGCAGACGTTCATCAAGTAATTTATCTTTCCTTCTTCCATGGTTCTCAATATATAAACTATTGAATTATGTATTCTCCTTTGTAGCTTAGGTCATTATTAGAGGTCCTAGAGTTGTATCAGCCTCTGGTTGATGATCACATTTTCAGTCTGTTTCTGCTGTTTTTTCATATCATGCCAAACAAGATGGTAAGTGCTAGACACATGCTATGCTTTTGTACTTAGTCCCTTATTTTTTTCCTTCCTGTTTAGGTTTTCTTGTGGCCATTTCACCATCACTGTCACCATCTACTAAACTTATCTATATGTAGATCATTAGGATGCTGAGGCCGAGGATGGGTGTTGTTGTTTGGTTTTTGTTTTCAAGAAACAATCTCATCTGCTTAGTGAAGTTTTGTTTCCTTTTGTAAAAGATACGCAATAAATATTGATTTGATTCTAGACTTGTCTTTAACATCTTTAGTTTTAGATTGTTACAGATCTTATAAGCAACTATTGCTTTAAGTAAATAAAAGATGTCTTAGAATCTATACTGCTAATTAGAAAACTATTTCCTAGCACTGTCTTAAAAATGTTAGTGTTTTGTAACTGAATTGAATTGTTTAGACCCAGCCCCGATCGCTGGGACAGTCGTGAAGTGAGGGAAGTTGGTCTTCTTTCCCCTCCAGCTGTACTTGTGTATGTGGCAGAGCTCTTGTCCTCTCTCCGCATCCTGACTTATGATGCTCTATGACTCTTCTCCTCATGGTGTAGTCTCAGGCCATGTTTTTTGTATGTCTCATTAAACATCTGTAGGTTGGGATGTCTGGGTGGCTCAGTCGGTGAAGCGTCTGCCTTCAGCTCAGGTCATGATCCCAGCATTCCGGGATTGAGTCCTGCATTGGGCTCCCTGCTCCGTGGGGAGCCTGCTTCTCCCTCTGCCCGTCCCCCAACTCGTGCTTGCTCATGTGCTCATTTTATCTCTTTCTCTCTCAAAAAATAAATAAAATCTTAAAAAAAAAAATTAGTAGGTTGATCAAGTAGTATGGTAGACATGGTTGTTGTCTGCCCTGATAATCTCTTTATTTTCAACTGTCAGAAAAACTTCCACCCTAATTTTTTTTCCATTTCTCCACCTCAGCTTTCTTGGCCTTCTTGTTTAGTTTAGTTTAATGTGAAAATAGTTATTCTCATTTAAGGAAATGACGAGTAGTTTTTTCCTACAATGTTTTAGACAAGGTCTTTATATAAAAATAATTATGTATAATAAGAATAAAACTCTGAACTAGCTATTTTTTTGTCTTGTTCTTACTATATCACCTTAATAATCCACTTTTCTATGATTATTCAGAAAATTGACTTAACTTTTGTCTTGTGTTTTAACAGAAGGAGAATATGTTAAAATGTTCATGCGAGGTCGGCCAATTACAATGTTCATTCCTTCTGATGTTGAAAACTATGATGACATCAGAACAGAACTGCCTCCTGAGAAGCTGAAACTGGAGTGGGTGTATCCTTCTCTACTGTGACAGCAAATTTGTTTGCTTTGTCTTTAGTTTAAGAAAAATTCATTTACCTAACTTCTATCAAAATTGTCTTTATACAAAAAAAAATAAATGTAATAAACATTGTAACCACTTGAGAAAGTAAAGAGATTTTACCTCTCATCCTTCACATATTATATATATTTGGTATTAGCAATTTAAAACCACCCAAATTAATATCTTTGAATAGGGCAAGTGGTATTGTATGAACATCGTGGTGGCTACTTACAGTGTGGTAGGGAAGGCGTTAGGCTGGAATGGGAAGACTAGTGTTTGAGTCTCAGCTCTGCTACCCCCAATGAACCTTACTTCCCTTATAAAAAGAGGTTAATAACTCCTACTTTACTGAGCTATTGTAAGAATTAAATAAGGAAACATCAGTTAAGCGTTTTGTAACTTGTGAAATGATATAAATTATTTTAAGAGCTCAAATTAACAAGATTGGTTCTAATTCCAGAATTAACTTCTCAGCCAGGTTTTGTAAAAAAAATGACTACATAAAGGAGCTCCCTTCATTTCACTTAGAAATTTTTCTCTTAGAACCTTTGAGAAACTACATGAAGCAGAATGGAGCTAGTAGTTTGAACTCAGCTTTCTGCCTCCGTTCTCCTATAAGCTCTTTCCCCTACCCTTCCATTCATTCCCTCATTTCTGCAGAAATTAGCTTGGGAAAACTCACCAATCCTATAATTCTATACAACTTTTTAATAAACAGTCTGCCTACCAAACTGTGCCTGGCTGTCTTACTCATTATTTAGGTCAAGCATAAATGTCATTTTCTCAGCTCTTCTTTTGATCCCTCTCTTCACTTTCTCTCCATTTACATTAGGTGTTCCTTCTATGCTTTCTCCTAGGATGCTGTTACTTTTTCCACAATTTCTAATGATGTATTTGGTGTTTGTTTTTGTCATCTTGGCCAGAGCATAACCTTCAGGGACACAGGCCTCTGTTTGTTTTGTTCAGAACTGTATGTTCAGCCTGTGCCTGCCACATGTTAGGAACTCAATATGTATTTGTCTGGGGAATGAGGAAACTAAGATTTATGCACATTAAAAACTCAGGATTGCACCCTGGATAGTGGCAGGACTTGAGTTTCCTAGTTTCGATGCATTCCTGTTTTCTTTATACCTTTCTCATTCCCTTAGGTATCCATGAAAAACTTGTTAGTTTACACCTTAAAAATTGTGTTGTTTAAAAACCTTGACTTTTGTGTTTAAGATACGGTTATCGAGGAAAGGACTGTCGCGCTAATGTTTACCTTCTTCCTACCGGAGAAATAGTGTATTTCATAGCATCAGTAGTAGTACTATTTAATTATGAGGAGAGAACTCAGCGACACTACCTGGGTCACACAGACTGTGTGAAATGGTTGGTATCATTGAACACTTTTTTTTTCTTTGTCATTTTTGCTCTTCTTTTTAATTTGGGTTTTTTCAGAAATGGTTTCTTGTGGAGAGCTCTCAGATGTTAAGGATATTATGGTCATTCTGTAGAATATATTTTAAAAAGTGGCATTTTAATATAGGGTAGTTCTAGTGCAACTTTTAAAGCATTTTTATTTCTTCTGACAATTTAATTGATAATCTTCTGGAAAGTAATGAGCCATACATACTAAGAACAAAATATTTTGAGCTTACCCCTTGGTTGCAAGATGTAGACAAGAGTCTAGATATAGACAGGAAAGACATCTTTTTAAAAATTTTGCTCGTCACTCATGTTTAACATGAGAAATGTGGGCATATATGCTGCCCTGTTTTCATTTTTTACTTAAGAATTTCTTGCCCCAAGTTTGACTTAGAAGATTTCAGCATGAAGAACTAATTAAAAGTTTGTGGAGGTGCTATGTGGGAGGGTGTTCACTGTGTTCCTTTGTAGAAAAGCAGAACTATTAGAAGAGCTGTTCAGTCAATAATATGCAATAATTGCTATTTTATATAGCAAACGGAAAATGCTAACATTGTAATAGATGACATTTGCACAGTGCAATACTACATCTTCAGTATGATAAAACCATCTGACTATGCATGCGCATGTGCAGGACTAGAAAGGAACTTGAACAGATGAAGACAGTTTAACTTATCCTGTCACAATTGTGAATTTAGTGTTCCATTAATTTGTCTATTTTAGTTTAGCAAAGAAAGAAAAAGTATGGCCAAAACTTAGATGCTTGATGTTTATTTGATTTGCTAAAGAAAATAAAGCAGATAAGTCACAAGAATTTTTTAATGATAAAAAACTGAAAAATGTTTGACAGATGTTGTTACTAAGGCATATTTCAGCTGTTTCACTTGTTTCCCATATTTAAAATTGTTGTTAATACTGTTTTTTAGCCTTGCTATACATCCTGACAAAATTAGGATTGCAACTGGACAGATAGCTGGAGTGGATAAAGATGGAAGGGTGAGTGGCATAGTGTTCTGCATGCTGTACCAATGACATTGCCATCAGAATGGAATCGATTGTAATTTTAACCATGGCTTGTTTATTTTATTCTTTTAAATGGCAACTAAGGGATTTCTAGTATAAGCAGGGAAAAAATATAGCAGAATGTAAGAACATTCCAGAAAACAAAAGAGAATCATACTACTTAAATATTTTTCTCTAAAAATAAATGTTCTCCCTAAGGAAACTATTTACTTGTAAAATTGGGAGGACTCATAAGCTTGTTACCTTTTTTTTTTTTAACATAGCAGAACTTATCAGTGTTTGCCAGAAGATACTACAGTTTCACTACATTGATGGACCTCTTGATTTTATATATGACTAGAACTGATAACACTTTAAAATTTCAGTTCCTACTCAATATTATTAACTTGGTTTACCTAATAAATCCCTTACTTGTAAGGATCAACAGTATTATTGATGACTCATTAACATGTGTCTGATTGTACCCATGACATTCTCTGGCTTGATTTATTTAAAGAAAAGTAGTTGGAATGGTTATATTGGATGACTTCTAAGGCCCCTTCCAGTTTCAAATTCTATTTAAGAACTGTTTAGCAATTTATTGGACACTGATTAGAAAAAAAAAGTATTATTTTCCCAGGAATGAAGGTAATGTTAAAAGCAGAGTATCCAGAGCAAATTTGCCTGGGTTAGAATTCTAACTCTGCCTTTTAATAACTGTATAACTTGGGGCAAGTTATTCAAATCTCTATATCTCCGTTTCCTCATCTGTTAAATGGTGATTATTATAGTACATAGTTCATGGGATTATGAGGATTAAATTAATTAATACATGTACTTAGAATAGAATATGACATAGTAAATACTAAATCATTTGCAGCTACTATTATTATCACTTGTTATTTTCCTGTTTTCATAGTATGAGAAGAAAATACCTACTCAAGAATCTTTGGAATCATGTCTAATGTAGTAGCTATTTTATATTAGTTGTTTATCCATCCCCACTGCTTTTTAAATATGGCAGACAGTTCTGTGTGGTAACAGTATTTATTTGCATCCATCTGAATACCAGTTAGTCTTACTAGCTTGTGTTTTTCCCCTTGTTTTTGCAGCCTCTGCAACCCCATGTCAGAGTGTGGGATTCAGTTAGTTTATCCACACTGCAAATTATTGGACTTGGGACCTTTGAGCGTGGAGTAGGATGCCTGGATTTTTCAAAAGCAGTAAGTAACAATTTTTAAAGAAGTGAGCAACCTGCATAAAGAAACAGAAAAGAAGATAAGCTCAGTTGTGTGTGTGTGTGTGTGTGTGTGTGTGTGTATGTGTGTATTCATAGAAAGTGCTAACTCTGAATTGTTAGCTATTGCTTAGCAATGGACAGCATTTTAACCTAGGTACTAAAGTACTTTGGTTTAAATGGGATACAGGTTTTTATACCTAATTATACTTTTGTTCTGAATCCTATTATGAAATAGGATTCCTGTAGTAGCAGGAAATGGTCAGAGGAATATATAGATAGCATGGTATAATTGAAATAAGCAGTAGGATGTGCTTTTTTGCTTCATCTTGAATCATGGAAACCTATTTTATTTAGAAAATTCACAGACCTGAAAGTTGGCCAGTTCTGCACAAATATTGACTTTTCTTGATGTCATGTTGGAACAAATGAAATAATCAGACCTTTGTGGGGTGCGTGGGTGACTCAGTTGGTTAAGCGACTGCCTTCAGTTCAGGTCATGATCCTGGAGTCCCAGGATTGAGTCCTGCAACAGGCTCCCTGCTCAGCGGGGAGTCTGCTTCTCCCTCTGACCCTCCCCCCTCTCATGTTCTCTCTCTCATTCTCTCTCTCTCTCAAATAAATAAAATCTTAAAAAAAAAAAAAACTCAAGACCTTTGTACTTACTAAAATCATGAATTATCTTGGTTCTGAATTGGTGACAACATGAGTTTAAAATTCAGTATCTAGCAATCTTATCTAAATTTTGAGGCTTTATTCCGAGGGGAAAATAAAACAAGGATATTACCCATTGAAACATTCTCTTTTTTCTTGAATTATATACAATTATTGTAGAGTATACAGGAGATCTACATTTTAGGATCCATGATTTTAAATTTCAAATACAAATACCCCTCCAGATTTTATTGGGGCTCACTCATACTTTAGAATATATGTATATATTCAGGGGCGCCTGGGTGGCTCAGTAGTTAAGCGTCTGCGTTCGGCTCAGGTCATGATCCCAGGGTCTTGGGATCGAGTCCCACATCAGGCTCCCTGCTCGGCGGGAAGCCTGCTTCTCCCTCTCCCATTCCCCCTGCTTGTGTTCCGCTCTCGCTCTCTCTGTCAAATAAATAAATAAAATCTTAAAAAAAAAAAAAAAGTAGAATATATGTATGTGTTCATATTACCTCTTCAGTTCCTAGCTATCAGCAGGTTTATTATGGATTATGGGAGTTTTGTGGGACATGGAGGCAGAAGGGACATTTTTAGAACTGAAAGATAAATTTGGGTAGACATAGGAATTTTGCTAGCTTTGAAGGTACTGAATGTCCAGAGGTCCAGTGAGACAAGAATTGTGAGAAAGGCATTTACAAAAGGTGGTGAGTGGACAGAAGGTTTTTCACTACCTTTCTTACCCTTAAATTTCTGTAGCAGGAACTGTTGTCATCTTGTTGATACCATTGTTACAGTGTGAAGACTATCCTGGATTGCCTCACTCTAACTTTTCCTAGTTTAGGTAATTGTTTTAATATAGGCTAAAAAAAGATAGAAGAGAGTAATAAGCTCTCCCCTTCCTTAGTACCTCTTTTCACCACAGTATTTCTTTCTCCCATATATGTCATTAGGCATATACTGCAAATGATACTGGAAAACAAATTTTTTAGTATTTTTTTTCTTAGACTGGAAGACTTAAATTATGTGAATGAAAATGGTTTCAGAAAAATAGAAAAGAGGGTTGCCTGGGTAGCTCAGTTAAGTGTTTGACTCTTAATTCAGCTCAGATCATGATCTCAGGACCGTGAGATCAGGCCCTGCGTCAGGCTCCACACCTCAGTGGTGAATCTGCTTGAGATTCTCTCTCTCCATTTCCCTTGGCCCCTCTCTACCCATGTTTACTTTCTCTCTCTCAAATAAATCTTAAAAAAAATTTTTTTCAAAGGAAAATAGAAAATTTGTTTTATTTATCTCATTTATCCATGTTAAGGTAAGTCAGGTATATCATGGAAAACTATATTGCTATCTGAATAACAGAAGTAATTAGATGGCAAGTGGAAATTAACCTAGGGGGGAAAGAATTAAAAATAGAAAATATTTTTAAATGAATCTTCATTATATTTCTGAAGAAAATACAGTCAGGAAATAGGATAATCATTTTCTTTCAAGGAGCTGTGAGTTTAAAGGATTTGGGATTATCTTTTTTTTTTTTTTTTAGACTTTGTTTTTTTATTTGTGAGAGAGAGAGAGCACAAGCGGGGGAGCGAGCGGGAGAGGGAGAAGCAGACTTCCGGCCAAGCAGGGAGCCCAATGCGGGGCTTGATCCCAGGATCCTGGGATCATGACCTGAGCCGAAGGCAGACGCTTAACGACTGAGCCACCCAGGCGCCCCAAGGCTTGATTTGGGATTATCTTAATGTTGGCAGTTTTAATAATATGGTATTTCTTCTTAGAAAGTCAATTTGAACTGCAAATTTTTAAATGCCTTTAATTGATTTTTCTTTAGGATTCAGGTGTTCATTTATGTGTTATTGATGACTCCAATGAGCATATGCTTACTGTGTGGGATTGGCAGAAAAAATCAAAAGGAGCAGAAATAAAGGTAAATCAAAAGTTTTAATTATTGTTTTTCAGAATACATTATTTGTTTTGCAGATCCTTGGAAGTATATTGTGTATCCTTAAGTTGCAAGAGCATACCAACTGGCCATATTCATTAGATTTATTGATTTGCCATTATTCTAATGATATTGAGAATACCTACCATTTATTTTTTTTAAACAACACCTATTTATAGTCTGTAGTTTCTGTGATAGTATCTATAGATCCTGAGGTCAATTCTTAAAGTATTCTTAAGATAACATAGTCAAGCACCTTCAACCAAATTCCAGTGATATTTCAGACACATTGTGCTACTGAAATGCCAAAGTGGATGGTTATCTCATCTCAAAATTAAATCTGAATACTCTACCTGGTTTCTTCTTTAACAAAATTTGTTACTTCATTCAATCTTTAAAGTTTAAAAATCTAAAGGAAAAATTCATTCTAGGAATATAACTGACATAACCAAAAAGCGTATGTAATGATAAGTTTTTTGGTCCTAATTACATATATGCGGGATTATTACATAAAATGCTACAGCATTTATAATTGTTGTAGAATAGGGTTGATTCCTTTGTGTGTGTAACTTGTAAGAGAAGAATATAAGGTTAACATTGCAACTGTGTTCATATGGATGGCAATGGCCTCCCTCTGAAAGGCTTTCAGAGGGATTCAGAGTGACAGGATGACTATAAAAAGCCTGTGACATATTTGCTGTACTCTTAAATAACATCACATTCCTCTTCAGTTGCGCGCACTCTCTCTCTCAGCAGTTTTGTTTGATATAAGCTTCAAGCTTTCAGCTTGTTGGTCAAAAAGAGATTCTTTTAAATAGTGTAAGTTAATCTTTTGAAAGATAGAGTAGATTGATTGTACTTGAAAAGAATATGACATGTCAGGAAACCTCAAACCTTGAAAAACATAAATGAGGATATAGATTGTCTTTCAGCCATCATTCAGAGTAATTTAACACTGAAACATGGGGATGTTATACCGAAGTGAAATGGGTGAATTTTGATCCTTTGTAGTAAAGGCTGGCCAGATGAAGTCTTGTGGTTTTCCTCCTTCTGACCACTCTTTGATCTCCTTTCCAGGACCTTAAATGTTGGTATTCTTCAGTTATATCCCATGTCCTCCACTGGTATCGTGTGCTCTTATGGCCTTAGTTACTGTCTGCTCTGTCCCATATCAATTAACTCTAACCCAGATCTCTCTCTAGCACGCCTGTATTTCTTGTTGCCTGCTAGGCATCTTTATTTGAATGTCCTGTCCTGCAAGTCAAAATCAACATGTCCCATTCTGCAGTAGTCATCTTCCTCAGCCCTCAACCAGTTTCGCCTCCCACCATATTCCACCTACTTGCAAAAGCGAGAAACTCTTTTCCCCTTGCTTGTCACACTGAAGTTCCTTAAGCACTGTATCCCAGATGTCTGTATTAGAGCTCTTTCCAGTGCAAGTGACTGCAAAACAACTGAAAGATAAAGAGAATGTATTGATTCATGGTTAGGGAGAAAAAGAACACATCTAGAAAAGGTCAGAGGGGAATTTTGTCTCCCGAATGACTTGATTCAGGAACTGGATCACTGTTCTCTTCTCTCTCCTCCTTTTCCTGTATGTTGACCTTATTCTCTTTCACTGTAGGTGAGCTCTGTTTCTGCTTAAGTCACAGAAATTTGGGGAGTTGGTACATACCTAGTTAATTTATATAAGTTTAAAATTCAGTAAGGCAACTTCAAAACCTTATTGACAGAAATTAAAGAAGACCTAAATAAATGGAGGAATATACAATAATCATGGATAGAAGAAAATATTATAAAGATATTACTTCTCTGCATATATTCTGTACTTTCAACATAGTCAAAATCCCAGCATGGTTTTCATGGAAGTTGACAAGCTGAGTATGTGTGGAAGTATGAAGGGGTAAGAGTAGACAAAAATAACAAGGTTTATGAGGGTGTGAAGTAACTGGAACTCTCATACACTGCTTTATGTTGAACATAGAAATTGGCACAGCCATTTTTGGAAAACTGTTCGGCATTACCTTCTAAAGTTGAACATACAGATGTGCATACCCTGTACCATCCTGTTCCACTCTTAGATATAAACCCAGCAGAAGTATATCCATGTGTTGACCGAAAGACAACTAATCAAAAATAATGGTAGCCAAAAAAAGGAAGTTACCCAAATGCCAATCAGTAGGAGAATGGATAAATCAATAATGTGGTCTTTACATACAAAGGAATACAATACAGCAATGAGAATGAACAGTTTACAATATATGCACCAGTATGAAGTGAATCTCACAAATGTAGATAAAATGGGGTCAGACACAAAGGGGTACATTCTATATGATTCCAGTTAAGTAAAACAAAGTAATCTATGCTGCTACAAATCAGGGTCATGGTTACTTGAGCAGACGTAGGGGATAATGTCTAGAAAAGGTATCGAAGTTATTTCTGGGATGTTAGAAATGTTCTTTTTCTTGTTCTAGATGCTGTACAGAAATGTGTTCAGTTTGTGAAAATTTATCAAGCTATGTACTTAGGATTTGAGTACTTTTCTGTATGTATAATATAAACTGATAAAAATTAACATAAAATATCCTGGGGGCACCTGGGTGGCTCAGTCAGTTAAGTGTCTGCCTTCTGCTCAGGTCATGATCCCAGGATCCTGGGATAGAGCTCTATATCAGGCTCTCTGCTCAGCGGGGAGCCTACTTCTCTATCTTTGCCACCCCCGCCCCGTGCCTTGTGCTCTCTGAGGCTCTCTCTCTGTCAAATAAATAGAATCTTTAAAAAAAAAAAAAAAAAAAGTAAAATATCCTGTAAGACTACACTCATACCCAAAGTGATTTAATTTCATAGGTTACTTCAAGTTATGTATTGAATATCTTACACTAGCATTATGGGTTTGTATACTGGGAGTATTTGTAGTTAGTTTTATGACCCTCAATCCATTTGGCATAAGATTCAACTGTCAAGTAGTTTGGATTTTTGTCCAAGTGAAAACGAGGGACTGTTCAATTTTAAAAGGTAGCATCAGGGTGCCTGGCTGATTCAGTTGGGAGAGCATGTGACTCTTGATCTCAGGGTCATGAGTTCAAGCCCCACATTGGGCATAAGATTACTTTAAAAAAAAAAAGTCGTCTCTAGAAGAGAGAGGACTAATTTTTGTTTTGTTATTAACATTATCTTTAAAATTTACTTTGACTTGCTACATATATATAATCATTATGGAGAATTACATAGGAAGAAAAGGTACTACCCTTTTCCCTCATCTTATAACCTGAATTCTAGTTAAGGGGAAAAAGCATTCAGATTAGATTGTTTGGGTTTTATATATGTGCCTATATAAGGCCCTCAAACTCAAATGTTAGTAGAAATGTAAAATTGGCAGAAATATTGGAGTCACAGGAAAATTTCTAAATTTAGATCAGTTTTTTCATTGTTCATTTTATTGGTATAAGAACATAAAACATAGGGGTTCTGGGTGGCTCAGTTGGTTAAGCATCTGACTTTTGATCTCAGCTCAGGTTTTGTTTTGTGTTTTTTGTTTTTTGAAAGATTTTTTATTTATTTATTCGAGAGAGAGAGAGAGAATGAGAGATAGAGAGCACGAGAGGGAAGAGTGTCAGAGGGAGAAGCAGACTCCCTGCCGAGCAGGGAGCCCGATGTGGGACTTGATCCCGGGACTCCACGATCATGACCTGAGCCGAAGGCAGTCACTTAACCAACTGAGCCACCCAGGCGCCCTCAGCTCAGGTTTTGATCTCAGGGTTGTGAGTTCGAGCCCTGCCCAGCATGGAGCCTACTTTAAAAAACATAAAATGTACTATGTTTAACTCACTTTGTTCATAAGATTATCATGTTGATTTGCAAAAAAGAAATGCTTTCATAGACATGAAGTTCTTACCTAAGTTAAAAAATAGACATTAATGGGGTACCTGGGTGGCTCAGTCAGTTAAGTGTCCGACTCTTGGTTTTTGCTCAGGTCATGATCTCATGGGTCATGGGATGGAGCCTCATGTTGGAGTCTGCTTGAAGAGTCTTTCCTCCTGCCCCTCCCCCCACCTGTGTGTGCACTTGTGCACTTTGTCTAAGATAAATAAATCTTTCTAAAAAATGGATATTAATATTCACCCTGCAAGTAAACAACAGCTAACAATAAACAGCTGTACAAGCATGTATTTTTTACCTCACTGTCAAGTTTGAATAGGTGCTTTTGCCATAAAACATTTGATTAATTCAGTTGTGATTTACTGAATACATAGAAATATGCTGTTTTAAAAATATCCTCAATTCAGGGGGCGCCTGGGTGGCTCAGTTGTTAAGCGTCTGCCTTCGGCTCAGGTCACGATCCCAGGGTCCTGGGATCGAGCCCCGCATTGGGCTCTCTGCTCCGCGGGGGGCCTGCTTCTCCCTCTCCCACTCCCCCTGCTTGTGTTCCCTCTCTCACTGTGTCTCTCTCTGTCAAATAAATAAATAAAATATTTAAAAAAAATAAAAATATCCTCAATTCAGTAATCTCAGTGAAAAAACTATATTTGTAATTCTTTTGTGACTCTCGTGCCTTTTTCTTCCACAGTCTCACTCTATCACTCTAGTTCTTTTAAACTTAACTCCTGTCCTTTCTAGGTTTTTTTGAGGAAAGAGCATAAAACATCTTCATTTTTTGGTTTTTTGTTTTTTGGTTTTTGTTTTTTTCATTTCTGTAGGTATCAGTAGAGTGACCATTCTGTATCTACTTTTTAAGCCCTCAGCCTGATGATGAATCTCTCAATCAGTAATGTTTTCTTGGTCCATAGTACCAAGAAAGATAAGAGTTTTTTTTTTTTTCCATCAAAATGACAGTCTGCCTTTATGTTAGAATGTACATGGCTCTTGCATTTGCTAGTTTTAGTGTACTTTTACCTGAATGTGTAAGAAATTAAAAGAATCTAAAACTAATTCATATGTCTTACTAGTGCAGAGTTATTATATGTAAATAGCGTAAAAGATGATACAGTGGTATGAGGACATCAAATTTAAATCATTATTCTAAAAATCTATTAAAATTTTTGAGGAAAATTGATCTTTGAAGAAAAGGCATTTTCTCAAAATGTTTCCCAGTCTTTGATTGTCAGTAGCTATAATTGGTACTTACGGAGATAAGGATATACATTCATCTAAGGCTTTCTTTCTCTATCCACAGACAACAAATGAAGTTGTTTTGGCTGTGGAGTTCCATCCAACAGATGCAAATACCATAATAACATGTGGTAAATCTCATATCTTTTTCTGGACCTGGAGTGGCAATTCACTAACAAGAAAACAGGGAATTTTTGGGGTAAGGATCAGAATGCTATAACTTCATTATAAAACTTTTGATTTTTTAATTGTTGAGTAAACAAACATCATGCCAAAGGGAAAACTGAAAATTCTCTTTGTTTCATTGTAGAAATATGAAAAACCAAAATTTGTGCAGTGTTTAGCATTCTTGGGGAATGGAGATGTTCTTACTGGCGACTCAGGTGGAGTCATACTTATATGGAGCAAAACTACTGTAGAACCCACCCCTGGGAAAGGGCCTAAAGGTACAGTATTCTCACATTAAAGTCCTCACTTTTAATGCACACATCCTGCTGTTGCAGGCTGGCTCTTACTCTTCAAAATGACTTTGGTTTTTAAGGTTTTTCATGATAATCTGTTTTTTAAAATTAAATTCTTTACAGTTATTCACTGAGCGTATATAACCTACATTTGACTATATTCAACCTTTCCTTTTAGGAGGTTAATACAAAGTAATTAGAGATGATATAGATATGTTAATTTAAACAGTATAAAGATTAAGAGAGAAATTATCCTGATCGTTAGTGTTTTGTGAAACCTTCACAAAAGAAATGGTATTTAAGCTACACCATAATGAATGTACAAGACTACAAAAGATACAGAACCTTGATCCCAGTTTAGAGAAACAGTGCAAGCAGAGGCAGAAGGATGGATGTGAATGTGAGGCATCCAGGATAATGTGAATCAGTTTGTTATGTAAAAGTTAACAGAGATAAGAGCTAGCCAATTTGAAAGAAATTTTATTTTATTTTTTTTAAGATGTTATTTATTTGATAGCACAAGCAGGGTGAGCAGGAGAGGGAGAAGCGGGCTCCCTGCTGAGCAGGGAGCCCAATGTGGGGCTCCATCCCAAGACCCTGGGATCATGACCTGAGCTGAAGGCAGCCACTTAACCAACTGAGCCACCCAGGTGCCCCAGGAAATTTGATTTTAAAAAACAGTTTGTAATTCCTACTATCAGTTTAATATATACTAAGTAATTGATAATTTAAGTAGGGATTAAGATACAGATTTTTTTTAGTTATACACAAGAATCCTTAAAACTGGTTGTTGAGCTCACCATAGAAGAGGAGTTATGAGGCCAAGGGTCCTTTATCCCCCAGTTAGATAACCAGAAAAGACCCTGCAAGGATTACAGAAGTGAAATTTTAAAAGAAAAAAGTTGGGGCACCTGGGTAGCTCAGTTGGTTAAGCCGACTGCTTTCGGCTCAGGTCATGATCCTGGCGTCCTGGGATCGAGCCCCGCATCGGGCTCTCTGCTCAGCAGGGACTCTGCTTCTCCCTCCCCACTGCTCCCCCTCCCCCCGTGCTCTCGCTCTCAAATAAATAAAATCTTTTAAAATAAATAAATGAAAAAAGTTAACAAGATAGAACTCTTTATTTAATGCCCCTGAAGAAGGGAGGAGAGAGTTTCTAGGATTATCAGTGCTCTTATAGAGAAGTCAGGAATAAAAACCAAGAACTGTCCATTAGTAGTTTGCAATATCAATAGAACATTAAGGCCCCCGAACACCTAAGTATAGAGCAGCCAGTCTCAAAATGGAGAATTTTGAGAATCCAAGATGAAAATGGAATGGGAAGTAGAGAGTTACTAGAGTCAGTCGTCTTTTTAAGGTTGCCTAAAACCTGAAAGTAAAATGGGAATTGCCAGTAAAGAAGAGAAGACTAAAAAGAGGGAGATGAGAATACCTGGATTGGGCATATGAGGAAGAATTATCCTTGAAAAAGAGCAAGAGCCTCCATTTTATTCTGAGACTGGAGCCTTAGGAGCTGAGATACCTTATGTGAGTAAATGGCGGCGGGTGGGGGGAAGGTCTTGCAGGATGACACTGATCTCAGTAAAGACAACTCTGTTAAAGACTTATATTGAAGTTTTTATTTTAATGGATTGTAAAGAATAGTAATCTAGTAAAGCATCACATAATCAGACTCTGTTACTTTAGAGTTCTACTTGTTGGAATTGGAATCCCACTGAAACCTTTGTCTTATCTATGGATATTGGACTTATTATAATAAATGAATAATAAAACCAAAACCCTATAAATTTAGAGGTATTATTTTCTAAGCAATTAGTGATTAAAATATCCTTATCGACTCTCAAAAGCCTGTTTCCAAAGATCTTAACAGCTGATGATTAGTAGTTATTTATAGTAGAGTAATAAAGAATGATAATCCTAATTACTACATTTGTGGCACATTTCCTACCTTTCTCCTCTCCTTTTCCCAGCATAGCAAGACTAGAGGGTTCAGTCTCCCTCAGGCTGAGTCTGGGGGTTTCAGTGAGGCAATATGCATGTCCATGTCATAAAATGGGACAGAGGAGGGAAAAAGAATAAACTCGTAGTTTGGTCCCCTTCTTCTTTTTCTAACTACAGCCCCTCTTCCCAGCCCTCGTACTGGGCCTTGGCATTTCTTTAGCTTTACCTCAAATTGATTGTCCTCAGAAATAGATGAATTCTTCTTCTTTTTTTTTTTTAAGAATTTATTTATTTGAGAGAAAGAGCGCGCACGAGAGAGCACAAGCGGGGAGCGGCAGAAGGAGAGGGAGAAGCAGGCTCCCCACTGAGCAGGGAGGCCAGTGTGGGGCTCCATCCCAGGACAAGTCCCATTTGCACCCAAATGCACAAGTCTGCTTTCCCCTTTTCTGTGGTAGATGAAAAAATGAATGGCACTGAAAATAGCCTTTTTTCAACCCCATTTTTCTTTGCTGTTTAAGAAAAATAAAGCTGAAAAAATATCCAGAGTACCATGATGCTTCCTTCAAAGTAGGTTATGAGAGAAAAATTAGAGACCTTGTTCTAAAATCAGTGGGCTGGGAACAGAGACAGATTCTTTATTAACAGCAACAGGTTGGAGCAGCAGAAAGAAAACTAGCTAAACCAATCAGACTCTTGAGAATCCACAAGAAAAGAGGTGGAGATTGACAGGGAACCAACCTGGGGTTCCTGAGACATTTCCCCTGGGGAATGGCAGAGCAGTGCACCCTGGTTTCTCTTATTTATCCACCTCACCTTAAATACACTGAAACAACTTTAACAACTTCCCTTTGTCTCCCTGGAGTCTCTGCATCAGACCGTGGAAATCACCACCAATAACTTAGGAATAAGGGAATCCTTGTTTCTCTGCTCAGAAGGAAAGCCCTAATTTACATGTCTGTCTTACCTAATAGACTTTCCCAGGACTAACACAGTGTCTGGTGTTTGATACTAGCTGTTTGAAAATTATTTGTTAAACCTTTTGTTAAGGAAATGACTTTAATCTTACCTTTGGATGTTAGTGTAGGAATAAAAGTTGAGTGGTACTGATGAAAGCACTATTTTCATGAAAATGTGGAATTTGTAGACTTGTAGATTTCTTACCATTGTGCAGATTTTTATACTATGTTTTTGGGGAGATATACTACAGTGGTGTTTTCCATATCCATGCAGCTGAATTTCTAAGTTTGGTGGGTGAATTGGATAGAAATTAATCCTTAAATTGTATTACCAGTGATCCTGATCTCAGTCATTGGCTGTGCTTTCTTTAGCTTCTTTTGCCTGGTTTAGGTTCAAAATTCATGAGAAGGATGGTAATGGATTGAGGATTCTTAAGAAAAAAGAAAGAACAATGATACTATCAACTACCTTTCCCATTTATCTCTGTTTTCTTTTTTCCTGGGCTCATTTGCTCAGTATTAGAAATGTGAGGGACAGCATTGTCTACCAAAACAGTGACTTAAATTGTTGACATGTGCTGAGGTGGGAGGCAGGGAGAGGTTTTTATTTGGGTTTTTGTCTAAAAAACTTGTGGCTTAGCCTTTGTGCAAAGAAAATCTGCATATGAACATACAGGAAATAGGAAATTAACCTTCATAAACGCTGGGCACATGAAATAGACTATTATACTCTGCGACAGGACGGATCCTGTTATGGGCAAACTTGCTAAAAATTTTGTTTCTTCCTTTACATTTGAGGGTTTCTGTTCGAGAAAGGACTAGAGGAAGGGTTTGATGAGTTCAGTGAAATAAATGTATAACCTTAGATCAGAACATTGAAAGTTTCCATTTTTAAATTCTTGCCCAAAATTTTAGTAGATTGATCCATTTTGCATATTCCTTGATATGTATTTCTGCATCCGTGGCTGGCAGCCTTTTCAACCAAAAATACTGTGATAACATGTCTGATAAAGGGACGTTTTTAGATGGCAGAAGTTTAATTTCATAAATGATTCGTAAAGTATACAACATAATGATATATGTATATATGCCAAACGATTACCACAAATTCTTAAGACTTACTCTCAGGATCTTTCAGATATACAATATAGTATTGTTAATTGCTATACATTATTACATCCCCAGAACTTATTCATCTTATAACTGGATATTTCTACCTTGTGACCATTGTCCCCTATTTCCCCCACCACCACCTCTGACAACCACCAGTCTGTTCTGTTTCTATTCATTTTTTTTAGATTTTACTTGTGAAATCATATAGTATTTGTCTTTCTGTGTCTGACGTGTTTCACTTAGCATAATACCCTCAAGGTCCATCCATGTTGTTACAAATGGCAGGATTTCCTTCTTTTTTTTTATTCCATTGTGTATGTGTGTGTACACTGCATTTTTTTTTTAACACCACATTTTCTTTATCAGTTCATCTGCCAGTCAACGCTTAGGTTGTTTCCGTATTTTCTGTTTATCATGTGAGTACAAGGTACTTATTTCCTACCTATATGAGAAAGTTCAGATTTTTCTTTTATGAAATAATTCGTAAGTTTTAAGTGGGGGGAGGGGAAGTTGAGAATATTACAAGATAATTTCCATTATTCTTAAATCTTTAGGGAACTAAGAAACACCATTTTACCTACTCTCCAAATAATCAACATGAGCACATTTGCCCAGTTGCTGATAATATAAAAATTTCAAAGTCTCCCTGATAATTCAATTCCATAGGTAAACAGGCACAGAAAGCCCTCCAAATTATCCTTATTTGAAGTCAGGGTAAACTGCTTTTTAAGGAAACTTTGTTTCTGTTAGAGATGTGAAGAAAGGGGGTATCTGCAATTAAGCTTGGATAGACTTGGCCATGATTACACCTGGAGATACAATAGGTTTTTAAATTCAAGGATAATTATTTTTCTTGGTAGGTATTTCAAACATTACTTGGCTTAAATTGGAATGTCAGAAATACAGGCCCATGAGAAAGAAATCTTTGACCAACAATTTGTTATATTGGTAAATACTATCTAAAGGGAACTTTGGTAATGTGTTTAAATTTGAAACACAAATTTTATCTCAATTAATATTAGGTCCTCCTCAGGAAATAACTCTTACGGGGTAAGAGGTTTGAGAGTAGAACTCTCATGGAGCTGATACTACTTAGTTATATTTATTCTTGATGAAGCATTTGTTCCTCACGTTTATTTTCTGTTTTCTAACATTCCATCATTCTAGGAAGACTTAAGTGTTTAATGAGGTGGTCATGTCTGGAAGACTGAATTTAAAACAGAAAAACTATGTTGCATTTTTCTACATTCTGATGGAGATCCATGAAATTCCACATCTCTGCTTTTGTAATTTCTTGCATAGTACTCAGACTCTCTTGTTAATCTGACTATGAATTAGAAAGTAAGGTCTTTGGGCCTTCCCCCCCACACCCCCACACCCCCCAGCCCAACAATACTCTTTAAAAGTTCACACCTCTCAGATGTCCTCTCAGTCACATCAGGGCCATGATTGATAATTGGCTGGCTGTCTTACTGGACATAGTTGTGGTGTTCAATGTTTGAAGTATTTTTAGGTGATAAATGTTGATGTGAGCTGAGGGAGTTGATGTGAATAGCAAGTTTGTTGGAGTTCTCCCAGCTCTGCAGATTTGAGCAAGCTCTACTCAAATCCGGCAACCCCTTTCTTTCCTTTCTCCCTGCCCATCTCTTAAATATCTGTACCACTAGCTCCCTCACACTGAGTAATTTTTAGTCAGCTGTAGCATTCTTCTTTCAAGGATACCAAAGCCCTACAAATTGCAGTTTATTTTTTAAATACACTGGTGGCTCCTTTAAATAGGTAAGTAAAAGTGAACAATCTCAATGACAGCTTTATTGAGATGCAGTTCACAGACCATAAAACTCACCCTTTTAAAATGTACAATTAAGTGATTTTTAGTACATTCACAGAGTTATACACCCATCACCACTGTCTTAATTTCCAAACATTTTATCACCCCAAAAACAAACACTGGACCTCTTAGCAGTCATTTCCCATTTCTCCCTCCCTTCAGCCTCTAGCAACTATTTGTCTACTTTTGGTCTCTGGATTTGCCTATTTTGGACATGTAAATTGAATCATACAATATATGGTCCTTTGTGACTGGCTTCTTTTATTGGGACCTTAGTGTTTTCAAGGTTCATCCATGTTGTGGCATGTATCAGTACCTCATTTGTTTTAATGGCTGAATAATATTACATATTATGAACATACCATATTTTATCCATTCTTCCGTTGATGAACAATTTAGAAAATGAACAATTTTTTCAGTTTCATTGAGATATAACTGGCATATGTTAAAATGTATAACATAATAATTTGATTTGATGTATGTTTATATTGCAAAATGAACACAGTAAGTTTTGTTTATATCCATCACCTCACAGTTGTAGATTTTTCTCTTTTGATAAGAACTTTTAGATCTACTTTCTTAGCAGCTTAATTTTCAAATATATAACACAGTATTGTTAACTGTAGTCACCATGCTGTACATTAAATTCCAAGAAGTTATTTATCTTATAACTAGAAGTCTATACCTTTTAACCACTTTCACCCATTTCTCTCAGTGAATAATTTTAAACCTGTAATTTTTTTTCATTATTCCAAGTGGTATGAGATTTACTTATTGACTTACTTTGGCCATATTTAAACAAGGTGCTGCCTTCCCATTTTTAACTTAGTAACTAATTCTGTAGGGTATCTTCCAAAGAGCTTTTACTCTTGCTCTGCCAGTCTCACTAGCCAGACAAAGAGGTTCATTGAGTTAAGGTATCATGAATACCAAAGAAGTAGTTCTCAGGAAATGACGTGGTTATAGTTTGAGTACTAAAATCTTACCCTCAGGGGCTCTTGGGTGGCTCAGTCACTAAGTGTCTGCCTTCAGCTCAGGTCAGTGATCCCAGGGGCCCGAGATTGAGCCCCACATTGGGCTCCCTGCTTAGCAGGAAGCCTGCTTCTCTCTCTCCCACTCCCCCTGCTTGTGTTCCCTCTCTCGCTGTGTCTCTCTGTCAAATAAATAAATAAAATCTTTTAAAAAAAATCTTACCCTCACCCTGAAAAAAGAGGGTCTGATGGGTGCCTGGCTGGCTTTGTCAGTGGAGCATGTGACTCTTGATCTCGGGATCATGAGTCTAAGCCCCCAGTGGTGTGGAGGCTACTTAATAAATAAATAATATAAAGAAAAAGGATCTGATTATATATAAAATATACACACATATATACATACACAGCCTACCCTTGAACAAGGTGGATTTGAATTGCATGGGTCCACTTATGTGCAGATTTTTTTACAGTACAGTACTGTAAATGTATTTTTTAAGATTTTATTTGAGAGAAAGACAGTACTGGGCAGGGGGGAGGGGCAGAGGGAGAAGGAGAGGTGGACTCCCTGCTGAGCGGGGAGCCTGATGTGGGACTCTACCCCCGGACCCTGAGATCATGACCTGAGCTGAAGACAGAAAAGCTTAACCAACTGAGCTACCCAGGTGCTCCTCTTAAGATTTTGTTAATGATAATTTCTCTAGCTTTATTGGAAGAATACAGTATGTAATACATACAACATACAAAATAGGTGTTAATTGACTATTGATATTATTAAGGCTTCCTGTCAAGAGTAGACCATTAGTAGTTAAGTTTTGGGGGAGTCAGAGGTTATACACAGATATTTGACTGCACAAGGGGTTGGTACACCTAACCCGTGTGTTGTTCAGTGGTCATTTGTGTGTGTGTGTGTAAATTGTTTTTTAATCTGCACGTGGACTTAAGATATTTTTTTTATGGCCCTGCCTTGTCCTTCCCCGGGTACTTGTAAAGTACTTATATGCTATGGGCATATAAGATAAAGCTGGGGGCGCCTGGGTGGCTCAGTCGTTAAGCGTCTGCCTTCGGCTCAGGTCATGATCCCAGGGTCCTGGGATCGAGTCCCACATCGGGCTCCCTGCTCAGTGGGAAGCCTGCTTCTCCCTCTCCCACTCCCCCTGCTAGTGTTCCTGCTCTCACTGTGTCTCTCTCTGTCAAATAAATAAATAAAATCTTTAAAAAAAAAAAAGATAAGAAAGCTGGGCTATCATTCAGCCATCACATTGGTACAACCTAACTGGTTTTTAAAATACTACTCTAGTTGGTCAAAAGCCACTGCTCCAGGCTACTAGTGCTCACTTCCATCCCAGTACCATTCCCAATCCTCCGTTTCTTAGCAAGTAAAGGGGCAATCCTTGGCAGAGCAGAGGGCCTCCACGTCAGCAGTGGTTATTTTTTGTTTTTTTTATTTGCCAGAGGGGGAGCGGCAGGCAGAGGGAGAAGCAGGCTCCCCGCTGAGCAGGGACCCTGACCCTGGGCTCAATCCCAGGACCCTGGGATCATGACCTGAGCCGAAGGCAGACACTTAACCAAGTGAGCCACCCAGGCATCCCAACGTTGGTTATTAAATGTTAAATATTATGGCTGTTACCTCAGCAGGAAATGAAGATTTTTGGGAAGCTTAAAAGAACATTGAATGGACTTGAGTCCTCATCACAGCTTTGTCACTAGCTATGTGGTATTGGTTAAGCCACTTCTATACATCTGTGTCCTCAGCTCTAAAATCAGAAAAGTAATACCTACCCTACCTACCAGGTAGGATGATTATAAGAGATAGTAAGTTCTGAAGCTAATGTATCCTCTGTTGTCTGTGGAATTATCACTACTTCAGCTTATCCTTTTGTAAGAATTATTTTGAAATGTTTTCGGAGTAACTAAATATTAACATAAATGCATTTAAAAGGATGAACTTTTGATCCTTTATTCTGTAAAGTTTTCTTCCAAAAAGACACTAAAGTGATGGAAAATATCAATAGTGTTTTTATTTTTTTCTCATCTTATTAGGTGTTTATCAGATCAGCAAACAAATCAAAGCTCATGATGGCAGTGTGTTCACACTTTGTCAGATGAGAAATGGAATGTTATTAACTGGAGGAGGGAAAGACAGAAAAATAATTCTGTGGGATCATGATCTGAATCCTGAAAGAGAAATAGAGGTAAGGATGAAAATTTTAAAATATTAAGTCTTCTAAATGCTTGTCTTCATCCCACAATAAGTTAACACACTTTCCTGGGAAATTGGTACACATTTTTATCATTTCATTCTCTCAAAAAAAAGGAGAAAGAAAAAGACTATTCATTAAACAAAATAATTGGAAAGAGTAAAAATATACATATACATACATATATATATATATATATATCGGGCAGACTAAGTAGTTTTTATTTCTGAGATTATTTTTTTAGTGATCCAAAAATATAACCATGCAGACTTAAAATTCAGCAAACATTCACCAGATACAGTATCCAACTCTAAGGTATAAAAAATAACCAGTTTGATTTTAAAACTTGAAAATAATCTTTTAAACAAGGGGCTTAATGATAATCGCTAATTATCTGTGTATGTGTCCACTTCATGTCATGCACCAAGAGTATCTACCACACCTGACAAGTATTCTGTGCTCAGGGAAAGTTTGCTAATTGAATTGAGGTCTCTGGAAGTGAAATGGTTAAGAATAGTATTCTATAGGTCATTGTTTCTCAAAGCAAGGGCAAATTTCACAGTTTAGTATTGCTTCTGTTTTTTTGGTGACTTAAATTTTGAATTTGTGCTTAGTGTTTTCAACACGTTTTCCAGACAAAATCTTTTCTTAAAAAAAAGATCCCAAAAGTACTGCTCTTGGGTTTTATTTCCAAGAAGATAGACAAGAAGTCAAAAGAGTCACTTTATCACAAACTTAGGTTCATAATGGAAATGCCACTTCCTTTACTATTTCTTTTTTTCCACAGATAACTCATATCCTTTGTAATCAAAAGCTACACCATCTGTTTTATTCTTCCCTTTGCCATTTCTAACATCAATTTGGATTATCTTTGGAATTCAATTATTTGTGCTTTTAGGAGTCACTTTGGGTCCTCCTTCATAAAGAAGAATTGCATTATTTCAGAGTCATTGCTTGGACTTATTATCTTATTAATACATCATTCACCGAGAGTATACCATGTAGTGCATTAAATGAGAGTGGTCTCCCAAGGAGTCCTATGAAGGATAGTTGTAACACTTCGCAGTATATTGCTTTTTAGTTAACAAATTTCACATGTGTTATTCTTTTATTTTCTTCCTTACAACAATCAAGAATAGGTAGGATATATATTATTATTTCCCCATATTATAGATAAATTTGTCTTAGGCTAGATGATGTACCCCAAATAAAATAACTGGTAAATAACAAAACCAGACCACATTTTTCATGTAGTCTAATAGAACTTTTTTCCCCTACACCTAACCCAACTCTTGAAATCATATAAAATATAAATTTAAAATTGACTAAAGCAAAGAATGTTGATAATAGTGCATAACTTCTGTGTAATAAAATGTAATTGAACAAATAAACTCATTAGTGTAATATTACCATGTGACTTTCAGATTTGGAGTTCTGTCATTTATTACCCCATAATTGCTTACAGCTATAAATGCAGTCTTCAGGTAGTAATTAATACATGTTGTTATGTGTATGGTGACTTTATAAATTTATTTTTTAGGTTCCTGATCATTATGGAACAATCAGAGCTGTAGCGGAAGGAAAGGCAGATCAATTTTTAGTAGGCACATCACGAAATTTCATTTTACGGGGAACATTTAATGATGGCTTCCAAATAGAAGTGCAGGTAAGATGTATTATTTTAACCATTAACTGAATATTTTTGAGGATACCCTCTGTTTCTTATAACAATGGGTATATTTTCATTTTCAGGGTCATACAGATGAGCTTTGGGGTCTTGCCACACATCCCTTCAAAGATTTGCTCTTGACGTGTGCTCAGGACAGACAGGTGTGCATGTGGAACTCAGTGGAACACAGGCTAGAATGGACCAGGCTCGTAGATGTGAGTAAAGCAAAATGTGATCATAATCTTCCCACAGAAACTCCCTAAAATGGCAGTTGGGAGCAGCGAAGGAAAAAGGGACTCAGCATTGGTTAAAACCAAGTTTATTTATATAGTTCAGTAAAGGGGATGAGGTAAGGGGAGAATGTTTAGTCACAAGGTATAACATGAACCCACTCTAAAGAAGCAAATTAGGGCAAAAGCTCAATTTTTCTGTCAGCTTCAGTAGAAAAAAAAAGATTTGACATATTTATGGAGCATTAATTGTTAAAGAAATGTTTGGGCCTCTGGTGGTGGTGCAGTTGGATTCAGTAAGCACTGCTCACTAACAGACTACTATCTTCTTTTAGAGTTGATCTCTTACTATATTTTCTCCCTACCCCACCCAGATATCCACCTTTCCTAGCCCAAAGGTGTATACAGGTTCTTTGCAGACTAAAGAACTGTATACATGTTTGTTGTTATTATCCTTATTGTTCCACTGCCTAGCCACGAGCTGGCTGTCCTTTACCCTCGCCACTTTGCCAACATACCCCTTCCTGCTCTGAAATTCTTTTTCCTCTCATATCAGTGTAGTATTTTTCATTGGCTACAATAAAGTTGATCGGAATTCCATGTTTATATGAAACCAATTATTTTCAGATGTTTTTGCCACTATTCCCATAGATCTAGGGAGACTTTCTCATGTACTCCCCAACAGCTGTCTGTCTCTCTTCTAGGAACCAGGACACTGTGCAGATTTTCATCCAAGTGGCACAGTGGTGGCCATAGGAACGCACTCAGGCAGGTAGGGTCTTGAAGGGAAATGTGAGCTGAGTACTCTGAAGTGGTGGGATGTTTAATCATTATTCAGGAATGTTCTCGATCTGATCTAGAGAATTAATCTTTTTAAGTAGCACACGAATATGCTTGTTGCTCTTATCTGTTATGTATCCTCATTCAATCATTCAGTAATTCTTGAGCACCTACCATTTGTTAGACGGTACTGTGGGCATTCAGGCGACATCAGAGTGCAAAACAAAAATCCCTGCCCTGTGGAGCCCACATTTTAGTGTGTGTGTGGAGACAGGATAAAAATATAAACATTATAACTATCTAAATTAGAAAATGTTAAAAGCCATGGGGGTGGGGCGTTGAGCAAGAGGGATTGGGAGGGGGTGCAGTTGCAAAAGATAAGAGTGGTCAGGATAGACTTCATTCAAAAGGTGATAATTCAGCCGATTTGACCCTCCTTGGAAGAATTTTATATGGTGTCAGAAAATTTCTCTCCTCATTTTCTTTTAGGGAAGGGAACTGAAACTGAAATAACCCAGTTGAGCTTTTATAAATTATTTATTCTGTAGTTTTTATCATCCTGTCTTTTTTTAATGTTACACAGATTATAAAAGTGTATTTCCCGAAATTGTTACTGCTTGTCTTTACAGACCTCATATAGTACTTTTCTAAGGTTATTAAGTAACATGTATTTATTGTCTGTATTTTTGAGTCCTTTTTATTGCCTCTGCTAGGAAGTAGCCTTTATCCATAAATAACTTAATTTCTTTATTAAAGAGGCAGAAGAAAAACATGAAGTAAATTTCCAAAAGTTAAACCCATAGAAAATGTGGAATGCTGATTTCTAATGAGGTGAAACTATTGTGAACACTTTTGTTTATATGACAGATATTTCGAATCATTTCATTTAATTCTAAATTTAGTCATTTGGAGTTTTTTATAGCACGTTTTTCCCTTTGGTTGTTGGATACAAATTAACACTTCCAGAAAGTCAAAACATTCAAATTCCTTTTCCTATACAGCACTACAAAATCTAGAATCATGGAGGGGTGCCTGGGGGCTCAGTCAGTTAGGTGTCCGACTCTTGATCTCAGCGCAGGTCTTGATCTCAGGGTTGTGAGTTCAAGCCCTGTGTTGGACTCCACACTGGGTGTGGAGCCTACTTAAAAAAAAAAAAAAAATCATGGAAAAACAGGTCTCTAGTGATAAACTTTGAAACGTGGTTGTGTAATGAAGATGCTATTTGATTCTGAAAGAACTGAATTTTAGAATTAGGCTGCTAGGGAGGGAAAGTAATTGGTGAAAACTTGCAAATATATAGACAGCCATACTATCTCAGACTTCTCCAAAATGCATGTTGGTATTAGATTATTACTTCAGCTTAGTCAGGTGTATGGCAAGTCACTTTGTAGGATTTGAAGGAAATTATTTTCTATTTTACAAAAAAGTGTTAAGCACATTAGAAACAACCTGAACTATAGTACTAAACTCGTTTCCAGAAAACCACAAATGAGTTCACGTCAGATCTGTTTTTTGGGCAGATGAACAAATATCACAAATGCTGAAGTCAAGACCTTACACTAAATTATTTTTATATATTTCTTTAAACTTTCACCAGAGTGTAACAAAATATTCATTGATGTCTCCATCGCACAGACAGAAAACCAAGACCCATAGAGCTTATCACTTGTGATTGAGCTAGGATTTGAACTCAGATTCTATATGGTTCCAAAGCTGATCGCTTTCCACTACTCCATTAATAATCTTTGACATGCGCTTATGGTGTTATTAGCATTACTTAGAAATATTGTAAGGAAAGTTTACCTTTGAAGGTTAAATCACTGGCTGACATACTTTAGAAACATATACATACAAAGGAATTAAACACTGAATAGAGTGCAAAGGCTAGAGGGATTTGAATCATTAAGACACTGCTTCATTCGATGAATGGAGCTGGGGGTGTGTGCACGTACATGTACACAATATATACAGAGCCCTAATTTTTAAGGAGAAATTTGCCTGGTTTAAATTCACTGAAGTTACTTTCTAAGATTTATGTAGCTGCAAAGTCATAATGAATAAGCTTAAAATGAAAAGTCACTCAATTTACGTGACTTAAGCTAAAGCCAAGCGTTTTCTCTTAGAGTTGTGAGTAAGAAACACCTTATAAATTAGAGTGATGTGGGGTGCCTGGTGGCTCAGTCGTTAAGCATCTGCCTTCGGCTCAGGTCATGATCATAGGATCCTGGGATCGAGCCCCACATCGGGCTCCCTGCTCAGCAGGAAGCCTGCTTCTCCCTCTCCCACGCCCCCCTGCTTGTGTTCCTTCTCTCGCTGTGTCTCTCTCTGTCAAATGAATAAATAAAATCTTTAAAAATAATAATAAATAAATGAGAGTGATGTGATAACTAAATAAAAGGTGGACGTTATTTAGAACCTAGGGGAGATGTAGTTATCCATGTTCATTCTATTCTATACATTACTGCTGTCTTTGGTTTCATATCTGGTTAGATTCTGTTGATTCTTGGAGAACTTTCTCATTTATTTTTATTTTTTACATGGGTCTGTGAATACCTGGCTGTGTAGTGTCTAAAACTGAAAATTCTTCAGTGTAGCCATTCAGATTATTATCACTGACCCCTCAGCCTAAAAATAAGTTACACCTAGGGCAAGGAATTTTTTTTTTAATATAGTGCAACACATGTCCAAATTGTGCATGATCCGGAAAAGGTGACTAGCAAAATGTTTAAAGATCTTTTCATGTCCAAATCTAGAAATTACTTCTTGTAATCAAGAAGTAAGCACAAGTGTGGGTAAATTATCACAGTGATAAATAAAATTGTCATTTAAAATAAAGTATTACTACTCTAATTTCTAAGGGGAAAAAACATATAGCCCTAAGTGGACATAGTTCTTCCTTAACATGCCAATCCTCACATAATAAAGGATTCTTTTTTAACAGCTTTATTGAGATATATACCATAAAAGTTATCCATTTAAAGTATACAGTTTAATAGTTTTTAGTAAGTTCACAGGCTTTATCACAAGCTAATTTCAGAACATTTTCATTAACACAAAAAGAAACCCTGTACCTATTGGCAGTTACTCTTCATTATCCTCACCCACTTCCCCCAACCCTAGGCAACTGGTCTGTTTCTATAGGTTTGCCTATTCTGGAGATTTCATATAAATAGAATCCTACAATATGTGGTACTAGCTTCTTTCACCTAACATTCATATACAAGTTTTTGTGTGGACATGTTTTCAACTCTCTTGAGCATATACCGAGGAGTAGACTTGCTGGACCTTGTGATAATCAAATTGTTTTCCGCAATAGCTACATAATTTTACGATTCCACCAGCAAAGTATAAGGGATCCAGTTTTCTCAAATGCTCACCAACACTTGTCATTGTATTTTGAGTATAGCCATCCTAATGGGTGCAAAATGCTTTTTTGTTGTGGTTTTGACTTGTATTTCTCTGATGGCGAATGTATCTTTTTTACGCAATTACTGGCCACTTGAATAACCTTTTTAGGAAATGTCTACTCAAATCCTCTGCCCATCTTTGAATTGGTTTGTCTTTTTATTGTTGAGTTCTAAGGATTCTTCATATATTCTGGATATAGTACCTTATCAGATATGATTTGTACATATTTTCTCTTGTTCCAAGGGTTGTCTTTTTTTCGCTTTCTTGACAGTAACATTTGCGACAAAAATTTTTAAAGTTTTATATAGTCCAGTTTATCTATTCTTCCTCTTGTCTTTTGGTCATTAGGATTTATTTCTGTTTTCCTCCTAAGAATTTTATAGTTTTAGCTCTTACCTTTGGGTCTCTTGATTCATCTTGAGCTAATCTTTGTATGTGGTATGAGGTAGATATCCAACTTCATTCTTTTTCATGGGGATATCCAGTTGTTACACCACCATTTTCCCCCCACTGGTATTTATACCCTTGTTGAAAATCATAAATGTATTGGTTTCTATCTGGACTCTGCATACTATTCCATTGATCTATATATCCATCCTTGTGGCAGTATCACAACCTTGTGTTGTAGCTTTGTGGTAAATTTTGAAATTGGGAAATTTGAGTCCTCCAACCTCCAACTTTGTTCTTTTTTGAGGTTTTAGCTATCCAGGATCCTTTGAATTTCCACATGAATTTTAAGATCAGTTTTGTCAGTTTCTACAAAGAAGCCAGCTGGCATTTTGATAGAGATTTTTTTTTTTAGTAGATTAGTTTGGGGAATGTCAATATCTTAACAGTATTAAGTCTTTCAATGAACAGGAGATGTTTTTCCATTTATTTAGATCAATTTCTTTCAAAAATGTTTTTAGTTTTTATTTTTTTAAGCTTTTATTTAAATTCCAGTTAGTTAACAAAAAGTGTAATATTAGTTTCAGATGTACAATTCAGTGATTCAACACTTCCATACAACACCCAGTGCTCATCACAAGTGCACTCCTTAATTCATCCCCCACCCACCTCCCCTCTCCTAATCATCAGTTTGTTCTCTATAGTTTCTTGTTTTGCCCCCTCTCTTTTTTCCCTTTGCTCATTTGTTTTGCCCTTTTTTTTTTTTTAAAGATTTATTTATTTGAGAGAGCACGCATACACACATGCATGAACCAGTGGAGGGGCGGAGGGAAAGGGAGAATCCCGAGCCAACTCCCCGCTGAGCACAGAGCCCCACTTGGGACTGATCCCACAACCCCAAGATCATAACCTGAGCAGAGATCAAGAGTTGGACGCTTAACTGACTGAGCCACCCAGGTGCCGTTGTTTTGTTTTTTATTTATTTTCTTTTTTTAAAAAGATTTTATTTATTTGAGAGAGAACACCAGATGGGTGAGGGTCGGAGAAGCAGACTTCCTGCTGAGCAGGGAGCCCGATATGGGACTTGATCCTGGGACTCTGGGATCATGACCTGAGGCAAAGGCAGATGCCTAACCAACTGAGCCACTCAGGTGCCCTGCTGTTTTGTTTTTTAAATTGACATATGAGTGAAATCAT